AATAAAACTTAATATTTCTGATAATAAATCAGCGTGGAAATGCAATGTTTTACGGCTCACAGTCTCTAGATATTGGCGCGATCCTTCACACTGTGTTTCGATCAATCACGATTCGTTCTCTTTTACGGTGTGTCACATGTGAGAAGTGCGCAACTATACCCGATATATACAGGATGTTCCAGATCTATCAAGAAATATTTTATGGGCTTCGACCGATTTGAGACTGATCTTTTTATAGCACAAGCTAAACTTGAAGAGAAGTCATCACTTGAAAATTTTGCAATCTTTGACTTTCCGAATCTCTATTAAAGCAAATTCAATTTGAAAATAACTAAAAAACAAAGCATTTTTATTCATCAACAAAGAATTTTTATTCACGCAAAAATATTTTTTGTATCTTTTTGTAATTTAATTTAAATTTTTAAGAAAGGATTATATATATATTTTTATTCTCGACTAAAATATTTCTCGCTAAATCTGGGACACGCTGTGTGCAAACTTAAACGAGCAAACGTCAGGTATATACGTGTACGTATGTACATGTACGCGTAGACATTTAGTTGTTACGTTTTTTTTTCTTGATTTGATTACGTGACTAGAAATGCTACACACATACGCGCCATCCATCCGTCTACGTGTTCGCACACATACACACATAAAAAGTATGACTTAGCAGTAGTATAACTAATACGTATCTCTATATATTTATATATGTATAATTATATATATGTATAATTATATATATGTATAATTATATATATGTATAATTATATATATGTATAATTATATATATGTATAATTATATATATGTATAATTATATATATGTATAATTATATATATGTATAATTATATATATGTATAATTATATATATGTATAATTATATATATGTATAATTATATATATGTATAATTATATATATGTATAATTATATATATGTATAATTATATATATGTATAATTATATATATGTATAATTATATATATGTATAATTATATATATGTATAATTATATATATGTATAATTATATATATGTATAATTATATATATGTATAATTATATATATGTATAATTATATATATGTATAATTATATATATGTATAATTATATATATGTATAATTATATATATGTATAATTATATATATGTATAATTATATATATGTATAATTATATATATGTATAATTATATATATGTATAATTATATATATGTATAATTATATATATGTATAATTATATATATATATATATTACTCGTCACAATAGCTTCTATCGGCTGTCTATATAATTAAGCTAATTTTACAACAATATGGCAATCATGGTGAATAATGAACAATACAGCTACGTTATCGCGAGACTATAGTCAATAACATTAATCTTAGAGACAATAATACAAAATAAAAAAACTCGTGTCTTGGATACAGTTTCAAGCAAAATTAAGTCGCACTTTACGCCACGAAATAATTCGCACTATACACAGGCTCCCCGCACGTGAAATATTTTCGGATTCATCGTGAAAATTTCGCAACTTTTATTCGCTATCAAGAAAAATAACTTTCAACATTTTTAATGAATAAAATACCAATAAAATATTTTTTATAAAAAAAGAATGGAATAAAAATTGCCTGACATACATATATATGATGTACAGTAGTCTTTATAGTATGTTTTTGTGTGTATGAAAGAAAAAATTGAAAATTTTATGTTAAAAATATATGTGTAAAAATATCTATGCACAAAAACTGCTACTGTTTTACACCAGAAAGTTACGACGTTTTCACGCAAACATTCCGCGTTATTGCTATCGCAATAAACAAAGACAAAGCAAAAATTCCTCGTCGATCTCACTCCGAAAAAGCATAATTTTTCGGCTATCCTAGATTATCGCGCGTTTCAAATCCTTTCTTATCAATGAGAGCTCGATTTATTTCGCGCAAATCCTTTACTCTCGCGACATGATCGCAACATCCTTGAATTCCCAACTCAATTCGCACTTTTGGTCAAATTGTCTCGTTAACGAAATCGCGATCGCATTAAGCGACTTTTCTTTCGCCTTGCCTTCCTTGTTCACCGCGATTCACAAATTGATATGAAAACGACCATTATGCGCAATCGCTACATCGCTATTAACACATTAAGCAGCCGTAGAATGTATCTGAAATAGAGACAATTCAAAATAACATCTCAGCAGACTAAAATAATCCGCTATGTATACATTTCCTTTCTATAAAAATAAAATAAAATAAAAGTGGGACAAAAAAATAAAATAAAGACGATAAAATCTCGCGTAAAATAAATCTTCGAGCCCACGTTATCATGGCAAATAACACAATAATCTAGAAGATACCATAATTTTTCAGACGCATTTCGTCGTACGTCTTTTAGACTTTGTTATCGTTTAAAATACTTCATCGTTAACGAATGTGACTCCCAGAAAAAAAAGACTCTATCTTCGGATGCTGAAGCACGAACTAGGCCACCCTGGTGAGATTATCCGAAATATCGGATCATCACGCTCGATCCGATGCCGGGACCCGTTGTGATCGCTTGTGAGACGAATGTGAGGTGACGTCGAAAACGAAATGAAGTGTGTGTCGCGAAATGTGCTGCGAAGGGAGAGGAGCTCGCTTACACATGTGCGTGCCGTAAGAAACAACGGAGCAAGAGACGCGGAAGAGGAAGCGGTCGTGAGCGATACGCGTTATGATACGCACGATATGCAATGATACGCGACGAGACGGCTCCACGTCTCGGGCGTATATATATATATATAATCGTATATACTATATCGTTTTAATATAATATTACATACATATATATAAACTCGAAACGTGTCCACCACCTTTCATCATCGCGATTGACCCGCATATCTTTCGATCTCGTCTACCGACTTGTGCGATCATCGTCCAGCCTAACTCATTTCTTGCCGACCTATTAAAATGTCTTACTAATTTTTACCAATCTTATCGATTTCTCACAAATACCTGTCGCTCTCATTACCGGATACGAATCTTTTACGTCACGATTACGTCGCGAAACCATAGTTAAGACAATTAAGTCAAGCTGATTTCTTGCGCTTACGACCGTCTCCTATAACGATCTCGTAACCGTTTCCGTCCGATGCCGACCGTTTCACCTCTTTCGCAAGTTTCTCGCCTCTTATTCGAGAGTTATGCGTCCCACACGTGTACATAGAAACATCATCGCTTACATCGCTTTTCTTAATGTTGAATCATTTATAAGCTAGTAACGCAGTAAATCGGTAGACTCTCACAAATATATTCTCGCGTATCACCCCATTCGCACCCTAGCGCTTTTAAAATAACACATATTATCCTCAGCGTCTCGCGCGCTTGATATCTATGAACATTACATAATTAAATTTTTACGCGTGCGTGTTTAACCCCAACCCTCTCTTTTCCAAACCTTCTAAATCTTCTCATCTTCATCGTCTCGTAAGACGTTTCACCGTTTCGCCGACAAAGATTAACTAGAGCCGAGAGACAACGATCTGCGACATGATAGCAACTTAATGATTCGAACGTTGCGTCGCATCGTCATCAGAAACGTATGGCCTGTTGCTAATCACAGATTTGCGCGAAACAGATGCGGAGACAAATCAAGCAACACCGTGAATTCTTGATTTTCCAACAAATAATTTGCGTAAGACAAAGAATTTCCCAGGCATCGTTTTGCCTCTGTACTCGATTTCGCTCCGCGTATCGATTTCGCGCAATCGCGGCGATACGATGATAAGTCGCGCGCGAATAACCGAAGATTCGACCGGTCTGTGTATAATTAATTTCTTTCAAATAGTCAATAGTTCAACTATACTTATTAAAATGGTATAGTTAACATGACAATCTGAAGCTACTGGTCCAACGGTGGGAAAAAGGATTGAAAAAACCGATGCGTCTGGTCGAATCCTCGTATCGCGCGACAACAACCAAAGATATCAATCTCGTCATATTTTATCGCTCTTTTTTCTCTTTCTCTCTCTTTCTCTCTTTCTTGACAAAAAGCGCAGCTTAACCGCTCCGCTCGATACTCTATAACGTTAGCTAGACTAAAAGTTAAGTCATGCGCATTGGCACGCGCTATTTGGTACGTTTCATTTTGAGATTTCTTACATAGTTCCTCTTTTTGGTTTCCGTATAAATACTTTATCTCTAAAGTCGCGATTAGCTCATCAGCCCTTCTGATCATTCAGCCCTGCTGGTGACGCCTCGATGCCATCGATTATTCGCGGATAACGGGTGCTGATAAAGCGTCAATTGTCGACACTCACGCTCGTTCGATACTTGGAGATTAAATATGTGTTTCACGATTACTATGTAATATATAAATAGTATCATCGCCACACTTTCGACACTTGCTTCGAAAGTATCGATACTTTGTCGCGTTAGTATCAATTATGATCTGATCAATAGTACGAAATACTCGATACTTCTGAAGAAAATCTATACCCAAGTTTAAAAGAGATGTCCAGAAATGTCTAGATATTCAAAAAATGTGTCGTTCAAGTATCTTTTGAGATTATGTCCTTCTTCAAGTATCGGACGAGTACGAATATACATATTTATGCCCGATATTTTCGAGCGTCTCGCTTCAAAAACGACCCTTGGTCCACCCTCGGTATACCGCGTACAAGTCACACGTTCCCATCCACCCTTCCATCGGGCGATCTGTCGTCGCCTTTCCTCTTCCAAGGACATGATTATCCTCGCACTGATTTCAGACAGAGTAACAGTCAGACGACAAAACGGAATCGCGATTTCAAGACGATGCGACGGATACGATCACGCGAAAGAAAATGGACTGGTTAATTTCATCGGAAAGACGAAACGCGCCGGCGAGGAAAGTCGCGATGATTACCCAGACAGGGACTTTAGAGACGAAGAAGCGTCGACTCGCTGACAAGACTAGACATAGGCATAGAAGCACAGTCTTACAGGATTCGAGTTAGGATCACGAATTGAACAGTTGTAGATTCTATATTTTCTTGTCTCGCGTTCAAAAGTCGTGTTCTATCTCATGCTATTCCGCTTCTGTCTTCTATCGCGTCATTCTCGTGTTATTCACACGATTTTTCTAATGAATCTAATGTGCGCGTCTATTCTTATACGCGCGCCTGTCTCCCCGTTGTTTTTTCACCCTCTTTCATTCCGACGCGAAAGCTAATCGTCAGGAGACGCGCGTCTCGTGGCATTCGAACGATGCGGTGTGACGATGCGTCACCGGCCGTTTCTCTTGCCCGTATCTTTCCCCCCTCAACACAACTCTCGTGTAATAAAATATAGCTTATGCGAGATAGCCGAGTACAGTACGATTGTGCGCAACGAGATTCACGCCCGTCCCGGAACACGTTACACACGTGCTGGTTACGCGCATCTAAATATGAGGTCCCATGTGCATGCTCTCGTACACTTCCCCCCGTCCTCTCATCCACCTACACCCTCATTCTCTCCCTCCCCCCATATATTGAACTTAATCAGCGGTATTGTCGATACACCCCATAGAAAAAACGAAAAGGAAGAAAAAGAAGCACTTAGAAAAATACACTCTTAGGATTCCCGCTATAGCATTTGTTTCGCATGTTGCGCAGGATGTCCCAAAAATTGTACACGCTCATGCATACATGTGTCATTTCTGCTTGAACGTATGGAGCGTAGAACGGTGAAATCTTGAATCACTATCAGTAATGTCGATAACAACGTCAAATGTCTCGTAAGAAGGCTTGCTATTCTGTAAAAGTTTCTTTGATATCTGCAATATATTCCATGCGCGCGCAAATAAGATTCAGCAAATAATTTTATAGAAATTTGACACAATTTTTCATTTCTTTCTAATATTTCTATCAGGATATATTTTGCAAAGCGAACGGATGATTCAACGTTGATTCAAGGATTTCTCAGATCGACATCTCGTATATATTCTGTATATTCGTGTACATGTGTGATGATAAAAGTATATTGTGACATTCACAGTGACGATCATTAATGAAGGAATAAATTTTTCCGCTGCGAAATAATTATGCGTGTATATGTGCGTATAGATCGATATCTGTGGCTATAATCAGTTCCTGTGCCTAGGAATATCCCGTGTGCGTGGTCATTACATTAACTGTACAGCAATTACGCGGTATGGAAATGACGTAAAGTAAAAAGAAAAGAAAGTATATCTAACGTTATATTAAGAGAAGTAATCAAACTTGATAGACTAGAAATCAAGCTTGAAAATTTCGCAATATCGATACATTACACTCTTGCGTTACAAAATGTGCCGCTTTTCAGTTGCCCTCTTTACTTATCAAAATGCAAATCTGGAAAAAGATTCTCGGGAAATCCGTCCAATCGCGAATGTGCGGATGTGCCGTTCAATGAAAAGAGACGTAAGAGAATATATAAACGAAATTTTGAGAGTGCGCTTAATAATCTGTGTGCGAAAGTTGTGGATAAAGGTTTCGACTTGTGTGCGTGGCGCGCACACATGACTCTGTCTTTCTCTTTTTCTCTTTGCGTCATGGAATGCTCGAGCGTTTCTCGCAAAACGAGAACGAAGCCGAAGATCGCGGTATAAAAATGCTCGAGCCTCGATAATCTCGATGTTCACGAGAGGACATGATGATGCTATTTCAATCGATTAATTCGTGACTATGGATCTCTATTTTCGTATAAGATCCTCGCGTTTTCATCGTCATTGGTGGTCAGACATGCGCGCAATTTGCGACACATTTCTCGCCATGGAGAGAAAACGGGTTGTGGAAACGCGAGCGCCTAATTAAAATTCCCTTAATTTTTTTTCTGCGTAGACTAAGATCGTAGACATTGCCAACAAATCCGTCCTCGATCGCTTCGGTCTCGTTTCCTGTAAAAACGACATCTAACCCGTCCGAGAATCGAAGCCAACGATGGTTCATTCTTAAAGCACGCGTTCCCTCCGTAATCGTTCTTCCCCGCTGCCGTGGAGCGTGCCATTTCTTCGACCGACATCACGAACGATTGAACGACGTCGGCTTCTCGGATTCGTTAGTATAAGATCAGACAAACTAAATGCGTTCCGCTACGGTCTGCTCAGCGTTGATAACGAAAGGGATCGTCTCTCTCTTTCTCTTTCTTCCTCGAGCCGGAATGGAATCGAAACAAGCTTCGAACCTGCTGAAGTATATCGTCCGGCCAGCCGTGTCGTGGTAACGTTTTCCTCCTCCGTTTGCGCTTAACGTAGAATACAGAATTAGCCTAATAGAGACCGCAACCGCGCAGATTATTAGCGATAATGACGTCTGTGACTGCGTCAAACACAAATTGAATGTTGTTCGTGTCGGTGGCACAGGTCATATGGCAGTAGATCTCCTTCGTGGTCGACTTGTTCTTCGCTTCAAACTGCGCCTGGATGTATGCAGCCGCTTCGCCGTACTCTTGCGCACCTGTACAGAAGCATTCGAAATATTCGTTAGTTATCTTAAAGCAAGATAAATGAAAATAATAGTGCACATAAAACGCGCTTACCAGCATATTCAGGAAAACAGATTGTAAGAGGAGACTTGCGGATTTTCTCTTCGAAAAGATCCTTCTTGTTCAAAAAGAGAATAATCGAGGTGTCGGTAAACCATTTGTTGTTACAGATCGAGTCGAACAACTTTAAGCTCTCTTGCATTCGGTTCTGTAAAATGTCAGAAGGATATCGTGTGATTTTGTTCGTTTACACATGAATAGATATTTATACGAGCCGATATTTCCATGTAAAATGGATAAACTTTTATAAAGCTCACCCCTCTTTTTTGCAAAGTACAATAATCGATTAAGCGCGAAAGAATTAATCACGATTCATTTACATAACTACATCATTATAAATAGTGTATGTATAATTCATGCCGACGAGAAATTTATAAGGTCCACTTTAAGTATAATATTGTATTTCATGCGATCCCCTTATGGCGAACGTGATTCACTCCGTATAACATGATCCATATACATAGATTCGTGATGGACCGGTGATACAGGTCACGACGAGAGACAGGCACCCTAGTGACAATCAACATTGGTGAGATGATAACGCGCGCGTGTCACTATGCACGCAAACGGAGAGTTCAATGGAATCTTCCCACGTGCAACGACCTCGGCAATTGATCCCTTGATTCTTCGGAGCTTCAGTTTACGCGTACTCTCCGTCACGTTCCTAATTTTGGGTTTGATATTCTTCTGACGAATCGTACATTCAACTCGGTATCAACCGTGCCTAAGATTATCCCGCTCAATATAATCGCATGAGTGCGCACATTTGCAATTGAGCGCAACGAGAAGAAAGAAATTAGTTGATTTCTATCGTTCCTCGTGGATCAAAAATGTAGTTTTTATTCAAGTATTTAAATAACTTGTATTTAAAAATGTGATATATATTGATTACAACACGAAAATCGCAATAATTTCTACGTATTTCGATATTACGAGCTTTTTATAAAAACAGATTTATTATATTTTTATTATTATATTTTAATACGGCGCGCGTAAGAAGTTTGAATAATGTATTAATAGAATATATATAAAACACTATTATTTTATGATAATATATTTATGATAACGTATACTTAATCGCTTTAAGATTATGAAAGCAAATCGTGATGTTCAGAGTTTTGAGATGAAAGGACCATTTAAGGGCATCTCGTACTTACCGTCGTTTCATCCTCGTGCAAAACCTGATCGTATTCGGACATTGCCACACAAAAAATAATAGCAGTCACATCCTCGAAGCAATGTATCCATTTCTTACGCTCGCTCCTCTGACCACCAACGTCAAATAATCTAACAGAAAAAAAAAACGAGCATGAAAATAATTACAATTTATCTCTCTTATCATTATTTTATTTTCTAAAAATCTATAATCTCGATAAACAAAACATCAATATTTATATCTAAAATCGTATCAAACTTTTATTACTGTTTCAAGTGCACAATGTCGCGTCTTTTAATTAGCTCTTAATTGACATTTAATTTCCTTGAGAGAGACTAGGCGGCTGATTTAATGGAGATGTAATGCTATCTCGACACGCGCGATTTTTAACAGCTAACGACGCTACTTTCGAGTTTCTCCGACAAATCGAAATAGAAATATAGTATAGAGTCAACGCTCCACAAGCGAACGCTCGAATTTTCACAGTAATGACTCATTCTACGCCGACCATTCATAACAAGATAGCCGCCTCGCGTCTCTGAAATGCCGCGCTCACCCACGAGATTACAGAAATGAGTCAACATAATGAAGCAAGAGCGATTGATATCTTTGGTTTATTGCGCCATCGGGCGCAAGACAATTTTACATGAAACCACCATGAATCTATATATCCAAATTTATTTCTGTTTTAATTTAATAATTTCTTCTTATTTAATTTTACGTAACTTAAATACAACTTACTTGAAATTGAGGTTTTTGAAGGAAAAGTGAACCTCCACGATCCCCGTCGTTTTCACTCGGGTCCTGAGAATATCTTGTTCCGTTGGTTGGTATTCCCTGGCTCCTAATCGATCCAAGTCATCCAGGAAGCTATGAGAAACGATCAATTCGTGAAAATGTGGCTATATCGTATTACAGGATGTAATTCTGTTATACATTAACGACACCATTAAATATTTTGATGTCCAAAGTATTTTGACAATTAATATTGATAAATTTATTTTGGGCATTTTGTTTTGAGTATCTCTAACATTAATTTCATAAAATGGCAACTAATTCCGATTTATTCATTTTCATAAGTACAATTCTTTCTATAAGCACATATGGAATTGTGATTTGCACATATTTCATATAAGCACATTCTTCTTATAAGCACATTTTTATCATTATCACAATAAATTCTCGACCGAATAAAATTAATTAATGGTAATAGATCTACTTGTATAATAAATCTAGATTCGATCCCGAATGGTGGGAGTGTTAGCTTGACATAGATGGGAGCTAGGGCGCGGTTTGCAACAAGTAGCGGGCAGATATAATAAATGGTGTTACTGTAATCGGGTCTTCGTAAACTACCGTGCGAACTGGCTGCTGCAAGGAAACGTTTCCACCAGTACAAACGCTTTAGAAGTTTCTCGCCAATTGTCCGCAAAATCGGCGCAATATTTGTAACTCAACGCTCGCCGAAAAAATTGGCGAAAGTCCGATTATTTTTTCTTAAACATATTATTTTAATACACAAATGATACAGATGTCACAGAGAAGGCAACTTATAAGTAAATAATAGAATCAAAGTTTATGAAATATTCGTGAAAATTATTTATTTTTATTTTAGCAAGTTATATTGTAAATAGAGTAGCGGCTTAAATATATTTCTCGATATTGAATGTGCAATGTTGGGGGTTTAAGTATCAAATATTGAATGCCTAGTGTCAAATGACGAATGCTCGATAATGAGAGCATTGAGTGCTAAGAATAATAACAATTATTTTTCAAAGCAAGAAATATCAGGTGACGATGATTCAATAATCACCGAATTTCCGTATAATTTCCAAGAAGTAGAAGAGGAAGTAAGGGGTTAAAAAACCATGAGGAAGAGCCACGCAAGCGCCATCTTTCTAGGCCACTGCTTACGGCGTTTAGAGGTTGCAAGGTGAGAAACGTCATTCCTTTTGGCCTACGTAATGAAAAAAAAAAAAAGAAAAAAAGAAATGAGATGAAAAGAGAAGCAGTCGGGAGCTGATGATAAAGAGGACAGATAAATTCGTTTCTGACAAGGAAAAAAGAAGCAGAAAAAAAGATGCAAAAAGTATAGCAAGAAAATATGAGAGAATAAGAAATGATTCGATAGAATGAAAGAGTGCAGAAACGAGAGAGAGAGAGAGAGAGAATGCGCAGGAAATAGAAAGATAGATTGAATTATAAAGAGAGAGAGAGAGAGAGAGAGAGAATATAGAGCCGCTATGAAGGATCTGTCTGGCAATTTAAGACATGCCAAACTCGAGGCGAACAAGAGAGTCCAGATAATATCTCCCTAGAGAGGGAAAG